GGGATATTATGTTCAATTCCGGTTGCCTCACTACCAGAAGGATGTGGTGGCTTTGGAGAGGGTATAGAAAAGATTTACCAGGATGTTGCCTGGTATGGTGGGCATTACCTATGAGGAGAGGTTGGAGAAACTTGGGTTGTTCTCACCGGAACGATGGAGGTTGAGGGGCAACCCGTTAGAGGTCTACAAGATTATGAAGGGCATGGACAGACTTTTTCAAAAACTTTTTCCCAGGGTGGAAGAGTCAATTACCAGGGGGCCATGGGTTTAAGGTGCAAGGGGCATGGTCTAAAGGTGATGTGCGAGGCAAGTTTTTACACAGCATGTCGGTGCAGGCTTGGAGGGCCAAAGGGCCTGTTCCTGCACTGTAATTTTCTTTGTTCTTTGTCACCCCTCACCATCCGACACGCCAGGGAAAATAGCCCCAGCCTATTCAGTCTCTCCCTATGGCTCAAACCCTCCAACTCTGGCAACATCCTTGTAAATCTTGTCTGAACCCTTTCAAGTTTTACAACATCCTTCCTATAATAGAGTGAACAGAATTGCAACAGTATTCCAAAAGTGGCCTAACCAATGTCCTGTATAGCTGCAACTCGACCTCCCAACTCCTATACTCGTTGCACTGTCCAACGAAGGCAAGCATTCCAAACACCTCCTTCACTATCCTATCTACCTGTGACCCCACTTTCAACGAACTATGTACCTGCACTCCAAGGTCTTTGTTCAGCAACACTCCCCAGGATCTTATGATTAAGTGTATAAGTCCTGCACTGATTTGCCTTTCCAAAGTGCAGCACCTCACATTTATCTAAATTAAACTCCACCTGCTACTCCTTGGCCCACTAGCCCATCTGATCAAGGTCCTGTTGTACTCTGAGGTAACCTTGTTCGCTGTCCACTACACCACCAATTTTGGTATCATCTGCAAACTTACTAACCATACCTCCCATGTTCACATCCAAATCACTTATATAAATGATGAAAAGCAGTGGACCCTGCACAGATCCTTGTGGCACACCACTGGTCACAGGCCTCAAGTCGGAAAAGCGAACCTCCTCCACCACCCTCTGCTTTCTACCTTCGAGCCAGTTCTGTATCCAAATAGCTAGTTCTCATTGTATTCCATGTGATCTAACCTTGCTAACCAGTCTACCATGAGGAACCTTTCTCGAACACCTTACTGAACTCCATATAGATCACGTACACTGCTCTGCCCTCATCAATCCTCTTTGTTACACCAGCTCCTCAGCCACGCATTCATCGGTTTTATCCTCTTATTCCTACTCTCACTTGCTCATGGCACCTGGAGTAATCCAGATGTTACTACTCTTAAGGACCTTCTTTTTAAATTCCTGCCTAACTTCCTATATGCTGTCCTCAGAATCTCATCCTTTTCTCTTCCTATGTCATTAGTTCCAATGTGTACAATGACTTCCTGCTGGTCCCTCTCTCCTTTGAGAATATTCTGCACCCTCTCCGAGATATCCTTGATCCTGGCACCAGGGAGGCAACACACCATTCTGATGTCTCGTTGTTGGGTGCAGAAACATCTGTCTGTGCCTCTGACTAGAGAGTCCCCTATGACAATTGATCGCTTGCAACCTGATGTATCTCTCATTACAGTAGAGCCAGTCTCAGTACCAGAAAGTTGGCAGTCGGTGCTACATTCCCTTGAGACTTCATCACCCCCTACATTTTCCAAAACAGCATACTTATTTGAGATGGGGAAAAGCCAAAGGAGACTCCTGCACTACCTGCTACCCCTCCTACCTTTCTTGGAGGTAACCCATCTACCTAACTGTATCTGTAGTTTTTCTCCCTTCCTGAAACTCCCATCCATCACACCCCCTGACTCCTGTAAATTACTCATTGCCTCTAACTACCGCTCCAACTGATCCATGCAGTCTGATATGATTCGCAACCAAACATACTTCCTGCAGACATAATCATCAGTAACATTGAAATTCTCCATAACTTGCTGCATCCGACAAGAAGAGCACATACTAAATGCCATCAGTGCACCTTAACAATCTACAGACCCAGAATATAGCACAGTCCTACTGCTCTAAAAAGACAGCTCCAGGATTAGTGCCTGTATTTTATATTTTTAAAGTTTAATCAAGAGACAGATCTCAATAAAACATAAACTTTTTTAAAAAACCCACTCTATTGTAGATTTACAAAAAAAAACAGTAAGGTTACACTTTGAAAAATAAGCCATTTTTCTGTCCCCCCCTGCTGTGAGCTCCCCACACAGGTTTCTCCAAGGTCAACTGTGAATTTCACTGTTTGTTTATTTTTCTTAGAATGAACTCCAAGTCCAGAGATACTTGAAACTAAACAGCAGAGGCAGTCAGCAGTTAAGGTTCACTGCTGGGTCACACAGCTGTGCAGGTTTCCTTCTCAGTTTATTCACCTCCCATGTGGTATTTGCTTTGTCTCTCTTCCTCATTTTTTTTAATAAGCGCTGCTGTTCCGATTTTTTTTCAAAGTTCTAAAACAATGCAACAGCTTATAAAACTATAATTACTGCTCTGAAAATTCGAATCTGCTCCAACAATGAAAACATCTCAGAAAAGGAGCAGTTCTTACAGCCACAAATTTTTTTCCCATCCTCCATCTTGAAGACCCAGTTTTTTCCACTTTAAAAATGTTGACTGTGCTTATATCTCAACAGGTCTGATTTGGAAACGTTTAAGTACATTTAAGAGTTTCAAACGGCAAGTGTGACAAACACCAAAGCACAATTAGCTATTCTTGTAAACAGGTGTCAATAGTCTGATGCCTATTGGTCTCCAAGATTTCAACATAATTACCACATCTGCAAGGAAAGTAAATTCTAAGAAGTGCTAGGCTTCCATATAACTGCAACCTATCTTGCTGGATGAAGAACAGCAAGATTTACAAAATCAACTGAAACTTATTTTTAGTTGTTTATGCAAATAATGTCTCAAATCCAATTATCTTCTTGTGAATATTTCAGAGTGAAATTAATGAGGAATGAAGATAAACATGATATCACTCAAAACTGCACTCTAGCTAAAGAGAAACTTTGCATATGTGCAGAAATGGCTAACTAATTTGTTCTTGTTATTCTTGAAAATAAGTGATGCACACAATTTATGAAATCCACCTGGATTGTCTCAAACATTAATGCCTTTCAAATGCCCATCACCTAAAATATCTACCCAATTTTTGAATCATATTTCCATATTATCTGCCTTGCTAGGCACCTCATCCTGTCCTGAAGAAGGGTAAAACCCGAAACATTGACTGCTCCTTTCCTCCAGATGCTGCCTGGCTTGCTGTGTTCTACAGCCTTCTGTTTGTCCACCATGGTATGACTGTAACAAGGTTTAAAACCCTTCAGCAAAAACTAAAGAGGAGCAGTTATCATTAATTATTATTACATATTACATTCGCCAGTGCTGCGATAGTTGACGGCATGATGATCGAACAAAGCATAAGCATTAAATTGCATGTGGTGGAAAATAAGAAGCTTCAACAAATGGGAAGAAAACAAGTTTGTCATTCCTTGCGAAAAACTCTGATTCAAACTTCACATCCGAGAATCCAAACAGCCTTTGGATTCCTCCTACACACTTGTGCCTACAGGATTGTTTTATTACAATAAATTAAATGATTAACACTATTTAGGAAGTCAGTAATCTCCAAACTACTTTTTGGTAGATTTTGCAATTGTACAAATATCAGGACAATTTGTAACTATATCTCAGAATCATTTATACTAAAAGAATCAGTTACTGACCGAGATGAATGAGATGAGAACTTAATGGAAACAAATATCCATCAGAAACTGTAAAATTCCGCAATAGTTAACATTATACACTACTGGATCATTGGACTGGGAAACTTAGGAAATCCATCTTGCTAGTCTCAAACATTAATGCCTTTCAAATGTCCATCACCTAAAATATGTATCCAATTTTTAAATCATATTTCCACATTATCTGCCTTGCTGGGCACCTCAGCCCACAGGTTTACTGAAATAACTGCACAAAAGCCAGTATCCTGTTACTAAGTCACCCAATGGCCAACCAGCTTGGTGTCAGTCCCCTAAACTGAGGGGATTCTAAATCTTCTGGTTATATTGGTCAGCCAGAGGTTTCCTGATTGGCTCACATTAACAACCCCAATCAAAGATCTCATAGTCTACAAGATCCAGCTGGTTCCAATCACTACATTTACCCTCCTTGAAAATTAGCTTGATCTGAACTCTTTAGCTTAAATCCATTTTCCATGGTTTAAAACTTGTGGCAATGTTGAAGAAACTGTCAGGGTTCAACTATTTATTTCCTTAAGTTTCAGAAATACCTGTATCTGCTCTCGAATTTATGGAGTACTTTCAAAAAACTCCTTTAAGAAACAAAAGATCCTTGCGCAGCTATAGTTTGGGACATTATGACTTAACATGAGTTTTATCCCTAACCTTAACCACCTGGCAGCTGAGATCAATGCAAGTCAGCCTGACAAAATGAAAATAAATCTCTTTTCTCCTGCAACTACTCATCTCTCATGACATTGGTTTTGGCAAATTTTCACCCTGTTACAACTGGGTTTGAACGAACAGAATAAAATTGGCTACATTTAAGCACAAATTAGTACTAAATTGAATGGTCCATCACTGAAGCTAAAAAGCTGCACAATGTGGAAAATCAAATAATATCATACTGTAAAAGAAGAGTCGGAGGCTGAGTTAAGGCAGTGTTCAGAGATCGAACTGATAGTGTGAATCTTCTACACCTTTTCTTTTTCCAGAACTGATCTCCCTCAACTTGATGACTAATTTCACTTTGGCAAAATAGTTAGATGGAGTATCGAAAAACAGCAATTACCTGATTCTTGGTTTCCAAGACTAGGCTGTTTCTCAAATTTCTCAAGTAGTTATTTTCATTTCAAGGGATTTTCTATTGTATATTGTGATGGCTGTCCTAATCTATACACCAGTTTAAAAATAATCTAGCATTGTAATGAAATACCTGGGTGCTTCAGGTACTTGTTTAACATTTTGTGGCTTGTTTTCCAACTCTTCTTCATTTTCTTCATCATCATCATCGTCATCATCATTATCTTCATCACTACTCTCGACTGCGATACTTGGTGATCCCTTACGACTCTGTTTGTGCACCTACAGGAATAGAGAAATTAGAAGTGATATTAAGTTTTTTCACATGATACATGACTAAAACAGATTTATAAGAGTAAGTATAAATTGATTTTCCAACACAGCAAATTAATACAACCATCACAAATAGACTTATGCATATAACCAATAATATGTGCTAGTGAAACCAAAAGATGAATAGTATTAATTCACAAATATTTGATTTTCATAGTAAAACAATACATGCTAATAGGGATTTATTAAAAAAAAAGAAGTCTTGCTAAAACTATAAAAGGCACTAGTCAGACAATAGTTAGCAAAGGAAAGATATACTGACTACTGAGGCAGTTCAGAGAAGATCCAATAGGTTGACCTCGGGAATTGCTGGATTTTCATATAAGTAGGTTGGAACTGTACATATTGGATTTTACAAGAATGTGAGGTGACCTTTCTTAAATGTGCAAGATTTTTAGAAGACTTGACTGGGTAGATGTGGAGAGGTTGTTTCCCCTTGTGAGACAGCCTCAGACAGAAGATATAATCTCAAAATAAGGGGTCACTAATTTAAGATAGAGATGAGGAGCAATTCCTTCTCTGAGGATAGTAAATCTCTGGAATTTTTCACTGCATGGGACTGTGGAGGCTGAGTCATTAAGTACATACAGGCTTGAAGTAGGTGAATTTTTAATCAGTAAGGTGTTATGGGAAAAGGTAGGAAAATGAAGGTGAAGGTTATATCAACCATAATTTCATTGAATGGCAGAGCAGACACAATGGGCTGAATGACCTACTTATGCTCCTCCTTATGGTCTTATGGATTCTCTAGTAAATATTTCAGGCCTTTTACAGATGAATTACATCAGGTATGAAATCACTGTTAATGAGTCCCCATCAAATTCCCAACATTCCTCTACAGCTGTGACTCCTGGGTGACATATTACGTATAGCTGAGACAGCTTGAGTAATACCATACATACAACCTGGATCCTACATCACCTGGATCCATTGCCAGCAAGGAACAGCAACCTGAAGATAGAGGTGGCCATTCCCTTGTGGCAATGGCACTGGACAGGTCACACCATCAGAATGGACAGCATGGTGGCTCAGTGGTTAGCCCTGCTGCGTCACAGCACCAGAGACCCAGGTTCGATTCCACCCTCAGGTGACTGTCAGTGTGCAGTTTGCACATTCTCCCCGTGTCTGTGTGGGATTGCGCTGGGTGCTCCGGTTTCCTCCCAGAGTCCAAAGATGTACAGGTTAGGTGGATTGGCCATGCTAAATTGCCCCATAGTGTCCAGGGATGTATAGGTTAGGTGTGTTAGCCATGGGAAATGTAGGGTTACAGGGTATGGGAATGGGTCTGGGTGGGATGCTCTTCGGAGGGTCGTTGTGGACTTGTTGGGCTGAAAGGCCTGTTTCCATATTGTAGGGATTCTATGGCTGCCAAACATTTGCTGTTCAAAGTGTATGCTCTACTCCCGGATTGTAACAGGTCAAAGTTCACAACACAGCTAACAAAAATTTGAATAGTGAATTTGACTTCAACAGGAAGGAAAAGTGCACTGGACTGAGATCCCCACTTCACCAAGAGTAGAAGGTGTGAAGCAAAAGCTCAAAAAATCAATCATGAACTGACCAAAAGACTAAGTGTCAATGCAGAATGTGAATTTTGGATTTATTTTTAAATGCTGCTATTAGCCATTTACAGTCCCTTTTACTACCTCCTCTGCCTTTCACTGACCACCTATAGCCTATTTCTCCTTTCTTTTCTGCTTTTCTCTCTCACTGTCTGTCACCCTGTCTGTCCTCCTTACTCCAGGACACCCAGAGGAATTCCAAGGAATTGCCAACAGAGAAATAGATGCAATAATCTAATTTCATAAAATGTTAAAGTTAAACAGGGGGAAGGTTTTTGAGTGCTGAATTTAAATTTCTCTAGAGTTATAATAACACCCACAGCAGGAATGGGGTTTGAGGGAAGGGAGAAATGTTGTTTAACACTGTGTCCAGATTCAAAGCTGTCCCACTACAAATAGCCCAAGGAGTGGTTCCAGATTAAAAATGAATTCCCCAAAATTAAGTTTCAGAAACAGCTAATCGGCCAGTTGGATTGAAAGATACAGATTGTGCTAGGTTGTCTTAACTTGCAGCAAGCTTAGAGTCACCTTACACTTCCAGCAAGGTAGTCTTACAATGCAGCAGGGAATGGTAATGATGTGGATTGTTGTTCAGGGAAGCTCAAAGTTCAGGTACAGGGAAAAAAATACCTTCAAAACATCTTCTGAACATTAATACTGCAATATTTGACATGTTTGTACTTTAAATTGAAAGATGCCTGTTGAATACTGGCAGTGGTGGAAGTGGGGTCTTTAAATGGGGCCTGCTTTTCATCATTTATATAAATGATTTAGATGTTAAAATAGAAGGTATGGTTAGAAAGTTTGCAGATGATACCAAAATTGATGGTGTAGTGGATAGCGTAGAAATACAATGGGATCTTGATCAGATGGGCCAGTAGGCTGAGGAGTGGCAGACGGAGTTTAATTTAGAGAAATGTGAGGTGTTGCATTTTGGAAAGGCAAATCAAGGCAGGATTTATACACTTAATGGTAAAGTTCTGGGGAGTGTTGCTGAACAAAGAGACCTTGGAGTGCAGGTTCGTAGTTCCTTGAAATTGAAGTCGCAGGTAGATGGGATAGTGAAGAAGGCATTTGGTATGCTTGCCTTTATCAGACAGCGCATTGAGTGTAGGAGTTAGGAGGTCATGTTGCGGCTGTACAGGACATTGGTTAGGCCACAATTGGAATACTGCATGCAGTTCTGGTCTCTCTGCAATAGGAAGGATGTTGTGAAACTTGAAAGGGTTCAGAAAAGATTTACAAAGATGTTGCCAGGGTTGGAGGGTTTGAACTATAGAGAGAGGCTGAATAGGCTGGAGCGTCAGTGGCTGAGGGGTGACCTTATGAAGGTTTATAAAATCATGAAGGCCATGGATAGGGTAAATAAAAAAGGTCTTTTCCCCAGGGTGGAGGAGTCCATAACTAGAAGGCATCGGTTTAAGGTGAGAGGGGAAAGATTTAAAAGGGACCTAAGACGCAGCTTTTTCACGCAGAGGATGGTGTGTGTATGGAATGAGTTGCAAGAGGAAGTGGTGGAGGCTGGTACAATTACAACTTTTAAAAGGCATCTGGACGGGTATTATGAATTGGGAGGATTTAGTCGGATATGGGCCAAATACTGGCAAATGGGACTAGATTTATTTAGGATATCTGGTCAGCATGGACGAGTTGGACCGGAGAGTCTGTTTCCATGTTGTATGTCCCTATGACGCTAAGTGAGAATTAATTAGAAACGAGGCAGGAAAGTTGTCTGTGAATGTTCCTGTCCAGAACTTAGTGGCGCCTCACTCTCCTCACCCTCTCGCTTGACTGGTATTAAATTCAACTTATTTCAACAGCAGCTATACTGTCCTTACAGAGGTTGACACACAGGATCTACTGGCTGAAATTATATTTAGATAGGCTCTATCACAACTTATATAATTGCCTATTTGGACTTTCCATAAGTTGTTTACTGCGAAGCTCTAAATTGTCACCATTCATGACACCATCTTGGGAAAAGATGCCTAGGTACAAAATCTTAGATAAAGAGTAAAATAATAAAGAAATGAGCTATATTCTGTAAATTATATGCTATAAATCTCAATATACAAATCTCAGTATACAAAGAAACAATTTACTATATGATGACATAGTGGTAATGTCACTGACTATAATTCAGAGACTCCAGTTTAATGCTCTGGGCACATGAATTCAAATTCCACCATGGCAGCTGATAGGATTCAAAAGTAAGTCGTAAATTTGGAAATGAAAGCTAATCGCAGTTGTGGTGACCATAACAACCACATCATCAATTTTTATAAAAACTCAATATGCCTTTAGGGATGGAAGACTGCTATCCTTACCCAGCCTGGCCTACTTGTGACTCCAGACCCACAGCAATGTGGTTGACTTTTAACTGCCTTGTGAAATGGCCCAAGCAAGGCCCTCAATTCATGAGCAGTTATGGATTGGCACCAAATGCTAGTCTTACCAGTGATATCCACATCCCACAAAGTAAAGAAAAAAAATTTACCTGCAAGTAAGTTTTAGGGACCAAACCTTCCTCCCCTTGAGAATTTTCTGCGAGCCACCAGCCATCAGGTTTTTGATCGAGGATTCTTAAAACTTCACCTTTCTGCACCATTGGAACAAAGAAAGGGAACAAATCAATTATACAATGAGCAAATAGTTTCTGTTGCAATTTAAATCGTGAGGGTGTTATTTCAAGCAATTAACATGGTCTCACTGTTGGTGCAGGGATAAAGTCAAATGAGCATTCCATTTTAAGGCTTGTGTGAACTTTATTTGGCTCTACGTTGATGCATTAATGGTTTTCAGGACATTTACAAACAACCCATTAGAAAGGTGGCAATACTGAAATTATTTTCATGTCCATTTTTCATTGATTTTCCACTTCATTCTCCTCCATCTTCATACATTTTTCTTTCCCATTTCATTACTTGACTTTTCCGTATCCATCTTACTGAAATGGACATACTTTGTAGATACAACCAAATAAATTAGTAGAAGTAGGTGTTCAAGACTGCTCTACCATTCAATAGGATCATGGCTGATCTGCTTGTGTTTTGAATTACACATTCCCAGCTATTCCTGGTGACCTTTAACTGCCATGTCTAACAACAGTGTACCTGAGCCCTAAAATATTCAGTGATCCAATGTCAATCACCCAATAACAACGTTTAACACTTAGAGGAAACAGGAATGACAGTGAACATTGTGCAATCATCAGCAAACATCCCTTTATGATGGACAGAAAGTCATTGATGAAGCAGCTGAAGATGGTTCAGTTTGGGTTACAAATAAACCCCTGAAACAAGATCATCTCTAACTGTACCACCAATGACATCCTTAATTAATAGTGCTCCCCTTCCACCTTTACCTAGTTTTCTGTTATTTTTAAAAACATAGAAAATAGGAGTTGGGCATTCAAGCCTCCACTGTCATTCAATATGATCATGGCTGTTTCACAACTTAGCACCCTGTTCCCACATTCTCCCCACATCCTTTCATCCTTTTATCCCTAAAATCTGTATCTGGAAAATATTCAAAGTTTTGGCCTTGACTGCTTTCTTTGGCAAAAAATTCCACAGACTCACCATTCTCTGGGTGAAGAAATTTCTCCTCATCTCAATCCTAAATGGCCTGCTCCGTATCCTTAGACTATGAGTCATGATTCTGGACTCCCCAGTCACTGGAAACAGTATTCATGTGTTTACCCTGTTTAATCCTCGTAGAACTTTATAAGTTTCTACAAGATCTCCCATCATTCTTCTGAACTCCAATGAATATAGTCCTAACTGATCCAGTCCTGCCATCCCAGGTAAGAGTCTGGTAAACCTTTGTTGCACTCTCTGCATAGCCAGAACATCCTTCCTCACATAAGAAGATCAAAACTGCGCACAAAATTCCAGGTGTGGTCTCACTAAGGCAGTACAATACAGTCTCACCTGTACAATTCCCTGCTCCTGTACTCAAATCCTCTCAACATAACACTTGTGTTCTTGCATTGGATGCTTACTTTCAGTGCCTAATATACAAGGTCACCCAGGTCTCAATGCATCTACCCCGTCCCAATTCAGATCATAATCTGCCGTCCTGTTTTTACTACCAAAGTGGATAACCTCACGTTATGGAGCGAGAAAGACAGAAAGTGAGAGGGATGGACGGCGTGGGGGGTGGATCCAGGGGCTACAAGTAATACATGTGTCTCCTGAACTCCACCATCCACAGATCCTTGACTAAGTAAGCTGCTAAGTTTACAATCACAGGGAAACACAGCTGACAGCAGTTAAATGCTAAAGCCTGCATAACAATGAGGTTCTCTGAGGCATTATGACATTTAAAGTTCCAAATCATCCTCGGGTTCATTGACTTTCCAAAGTTTGGCCTCAGTTAAAACCAGAAATGGATACACTGGGTGTTGGTTTGGATCAGGACTTCTGAGACTTTAACGACCACTCCACAGTGCCCTCTGCACCCTCAATAAACAGGCCTTTTCTGTTTGGTTAAAATTCAGTCCATTGTTTCTAATGAAATAGTTTCAGTCACTGCTGACCACATAATATTCAATGCTGACTTAAGTACAACTTAAACTTTTGAATAATCAGAGCTACTAAAATTAATTCTTTACAGCCAACTAATTTGTAAAAGACCTCAAACAGTCACTATAGACAAGGCGTTTTTGCTATCTTGTTAGATAATGCAGAGGAATAGTAATTCTTTGATATACTATGGTTGAAGTTCAGCATCCTCTTCATTTCAGAGGCAATGCAGTGAGATTCAGTATCAAGAGATAGACAGACAGCTCCAAACTGCAAAGTTTTCCCAAGTTTCCAATGCAGTCAAGTCAAATTGAAATAAAACAGAATAATGAAATATGCCTTCCAAAACCAGAATAGTTACCTTAAATGCCAGATCACTTTCCTCCTGAGCTTCAAAGTCACTGATTGTAATGAATAGTTGAACACCATCTCGTTCATCAAATTCCTCTCCATCATCACTTTCTTCATCTTCATCATCATCATCATCATCACCACCACCATCAACACCTTCCACAGTTTCCCTCTTCACTGCCGTAGCCTGGCTCTTTACGTTCCTAGCAAAATCAGTTGCAGATAGTTATTGTTATAGTAACAAATATCCTGTATTAGTCATTTCTATGAATTCTGAGTCACACAATCCTAAATCTCATTCCATTTCAAAATTTAGCCAGAGTTTTACTGCACGTTAATACATTGTTTTACATTGTTGCTGTCACACAAAAGCAGATCAATAGTGGGTGCCTTTATAGGTTGTACATTTTAACTAAAGAGTTCCTTGGAAAATGCTACTTCACAAACACTTTAGGCTCCAGGAGCCTGAAGATCAATCTAAAATACTTGCCACCTGATTTAATTTTTGATTTGGTTTGGCTGTGGTCAAAACAGGCCTCCATCAAGCATGGTTCATCAACAATAACAAGAATAGAACATATTTTAATTTATACCACCAAATCCTGAGATGTTGGATTAACCGTTCCACACTGTTACTTTCGGTTGTATCTCGATATCATCACTTCTTGGACTTTTTCCCGTCCAGATCAAGTCCTTCAATTTTTCTACGACAGGTTCAATTTTGTGGGATCTTTTTGCATAGCCTTCAGCACATTATTGTCTCTCTGATTTTGTGATGACAAAAATTTATTTACTTTATTTCTTTCATAAGATATGTGCATCACTGGTAAAACCAGCATTTATTGACCCAGCCAGAATTTTCTTTGTGTTGATTGGTTTGCGAGGCCATTTACAGAAGGTAGTCAAGAGTCAGTCACATTGCTGTGGATCTGGAGATTCTCTTCTCTTAACATTAGTGAACCAAACAGGTTTTTGAGTCAATCAATGAAAGTTTTATGGCACTATTATTGAGACTAGCAATGTTTATTTCCATCTGCAAATATTGAAATTGTGTAATAGAATTACAGAAACCATATAATGTGGCCCATCGAGTCCACATCAACCCTCCAAAGAGCATCCTACCCAGACCCACCCCCCTTATCTCCACAACCATGTGTTTACCATGGCTAACTCACCTAACCTATACATCCCTGAACACTACAGGACAATTTAGCATAGCCATTCCACCTAGCCTGCACATCTTTGGACTATGGGAGGAAACCGGAGCACCCAGAGGAAATCCATGCAGACATAGGAAGAACTTGCAAATTCCACATAGATAGTCGCCCGAGGCTGAAATTGAACTCAGGTCCCTGATGCTGTGAGGCAGCAGTGTTAAACAGTGAGCCACCATGGCCAATTGATCCCCAGGTTAAAAATAACTTGCTCTAACTAATCTGTGCTAACCACTGAGCCACCAGTGCATACCTATGTGACGTGTACATTTAAATGAAAGTCACTAATAAAAATCAAGCAGCCGTACTAATGTCTACCCCTCATAGTATTTATTATATGTTAATATCAACCCCTTAGCAATCCTACTGCACCTTCCTTCAGTCCAAAAAACACCATTCACCACTACTGTTTCCTGTCAGTTGGCAAACTTCATATCCATACTGCCACAGTTATCAATTTTATTAGGGATCCTTGATGCCACACTTTGGTCACATGATGTCTTGATGTCAAGGGTAGTCATTCTTGCTGGAGAACTTTGAAATTCAGTTGACTGTTCATTGGTAAAGTGTCTGGCTTCAGAGAAGACTTAGAAAACTTCCCAAAAATAATGGAAAATCAAGAGACAAAAGAGAAGGGTAAACTTGAAACCACCATCATCACCAGCGAAAGTATACTGGAAAACTATTGGAACTACATGCTAACAGGTCTCCAGGACCAGTTGATCTGCATCCTGAGGTCTTAAAGAAGCAATGGTACAGACATTAGATGCATTGGTTATAATCTTCCAAAATTCCACAGATTCTGTGTGTTAGAAAATAGCAATTATAATACTTTTTTTTTGTTTTACTCATTCCTGGGATGTGGTCATCACTGGTCATATCAATATTTATTAACCATCCCTAATTGCCCTTGAGAAAGTAGTGGTGAGCTGCCTTCTTGGACCTCTGTAGTCTATTGTCTGTAGTTAAACCCACAATGCCATAAGGGAGGATTTCAGGATTTTGACCAGCGACACAGATTAGTTAGAGCAAGTTATCTTTAACCTGGGGATCAATTGGGCATGCTGGCTCAGTGTTTAACACGGCTGCCTCACAGCATCAGGGACCTGAGTTCAATTTCAGCCTCGGGCGACTATCTATGTGGAAAGAAAGGAAAGAAGGAAATTCACAAATTTGCAGAATGCAGGACAATATAGGCCAGTTAGCCTAACATTGATCACAGGGAAGGAGCTAGAGCCCACTATTGAATATTATAGCAGAATACTAAGAAACTGAAAATTGGTTCAGGCAGTGCTAACAGGTGATTTTATTACAGTTTTAAAAATCCTGAACAGCTTGACAAGGCAGACTTAGAAAGGATGGTTCCTCGTGTGCCTGAGTCCAGAACTATGGACATACTGTTTGAAAATCAGAGGTCACCCTTTTAGGATAGAGATGAGAGGAAACTCTTTTTCTCTAAAGGTTATGTGACTTTGGAACACTCTGCCTCAGGTCATGAATATTTTTGAGGCATGGATTGAATGATTCCCTTGCCTAACAAGAAACTAAGATTATTGGGGGTAGATGGGAATGTGAAACTTAGAACGCAAGCAGATCAGTCAATCTTCCTGAATGGCAGAGGAGGTTTAAAGGACCAAAGACCTATTTCTGCTCCTAATTGGTATGCTCATATGATATATTTTGAGATACTGATGACAGCATGGGATATGCAGATAGCACAGGAAATTGATCTCGAGGTTGATAGTTAGCCACGTTCTACAATGGTGGAGTAAATTCAAGAGTCTGAATGGCCTACTCCTGTTCCTCTGTTATACTGCAATCATGGTTTAACTTATGTTAAATACTGTCCAAAATTCTGTTTGTTATTCTAATTGCTACATTATGTACACCTACAACAAATTGTCGTATGGCTGGTGCCAAGTTGAATAACAGAATCAGGTATCTGAACAGGACATTTATTCACCTGGAGCTACAACAAGTTTTAGAGCTAAATTCAACAACCACTTTATCTTACACGTCAGTTTCATCCATTTTCTGTTTGGTAAGCTCTTTATTTAGTCTCCGAGCAACTTCTTGAAGTAGTTCTGACATGCCTTTCAGCCGTCTTTCTTCATTTCGCTTCCGTTGATCATAATTACTTATAAGAGAAAGTTCATTTGTCTGAAAAAGATGATGTCTTGTAAGATCATACCGTAGATTTAAAGAACTGTAGATATGTTTAAACTAAGTTAAGTGTTAATTTTGGTTCCACAGTACTACCGTTGCGTCGGCAGATTATAGATTCATACCCTATTCCAGTGACTTAAAAATACAACATAAGCTGGGACTTTAAGACAATAAAGAGTGACTGCTGCCATTTTTCAGATGTTAATCTATGAAATGATTCAACCTCTCAGGTGGGTGTAAGACATGACACTACCTGAACAGGAAGACAGAATTATTCTGGTACTCGAGCTAACATTTACTCCTCAAACAATATCAGTAAAGTAGGTTAGTTGCAGCTGCATGAACAAAAACAGAGGTTGCTGGAAAAGCTCAGCAGGTCTGGCAGCATCTGCAAAGAGAAATCACAGTTAACATTTCGGTCTGGTGACCCTTTCTCAGAATGATGGTAGCCAGGAAAATGTCGGTTTATATGCAGAAGATAGGGTGGGGGGAGAGGGTAATGAGTAAATGATAGTTGGGGATAGAGCCCAAAGAGAGAGAAGAACAGTTGAACAGACAAAGGAGTAGAAAGCGATTTGGCTAGGAGGGTGAATAGCTACTAATGGAGACTGTTACGGGCTAACCATAGGTAATGTGCAATGGCAGGCTATGTGATAACAAGGCATGGTGCGTGGGTTTGGGGGTTAGGACATGCGAGAGTTCAGGCCTTAAAATTATTCAACTCGTTATTAAGTCCAGAGGGCTGCAGGGTCCCCAAGCAGAAAATGAAGTGTTGCTCTTCCAGCTTGCGCTCAGCTTCGCTAGAACACTTCAGCAAGCCTCAGACAGAGATGTTGGCCAGGGAACAGGATGGTGCGTTAATTAGGCAGGCAAATGGAAGTACAGGGTCTTTTTTGTGAACAGAACTTAGATATTCTGCGAAGCGGTCACCCAGTCTATGCTTCATTTCCCCAATGTACAGGAGACCACATTGTGAGCAGCAAATGCAGCAGACTAGATTGTGGGAAGTGCAGGTAAAGTGCTGCTTCACCTGGAAGGAATATTTGGGCCCTTGGACACAGAGAAGGGAGGAGGTAAAACGGGCAGGTGTTACACCTTCACCAGTTGCAGGGGAAGATGCAGTTGCACGACCTTACTTATTAACAGACATGGTGCTGAAATGTGACACTGACAGTCAAGATGTGAGGTTTATCCCAAACCTATTTTGGGACTATATAGTGAGGATCAAGCTAGAAAAGGGAAATCAGATTTTGTTTCCAACTGAAGTACAACAAGTCTGTGTACTGTCACAAACATTCTTCAATCAGTATACAGGTCAAATATACAGAAATTCAGATGATCTTCCAGGGTGAAAATTGGAGATAAGAACATACCAAGCTTGAATTACACTGAAAATACTTGCAGAATCAGAGGAAGTTTTACAAAATATCATAGATAGAGTAAAACAAAGGAGTTTAGAATATGAATTGACTATGAACACTATAAAGAATAACAGTTAAAAGGAATATATCAGATGAAACTAGAATTATGATCAAAGTAGATGGTGTTATACTGGAACAGATAGGTAAATTTGTCTTTTGAGGACAAATTAGAACAGAAGATGGCAGATCTGATGCAGAAGTTAGATGAAAGTCAGAGATAACCAGAAGTAAGTGTGTGAAGTTGAAGAATGTGTTTGCAACAAGAAATTTCAAGTTGCAATAAGAGAAAGACTCATGAGGTGCTACATTCTATCTACTTCTTCTGCATTCCCCACAAACCTGGAAAATAAGTAAAGATCTATAAAAGAAAAAAAAGACATATTTTAAATGTGGATGCTAAGACACATGCTTTAAAATTCTAACAACAGACCATAAGACAAACAAAAATTGGAAATACTAGTACTGGAAATTTCAAAAGCAAAAAGAACTCTAAAAGGAGGCATCCAGAAAAGAAAATGTCTGTACTTAAACCATTTGATCAGAGCTGAAATGCCACAGAGATCTCTTTAAGAAGACAAGGAGGAGGACAGCAGAAGCTTGGGTCAACCTAGGTGTAGTTGGATGCTGAATGTCACAGAGTGGATGCAGACAAGCTACAGTGGATGAGAGAATGTTATACAATGTTGAAAATTGTAATGTTAACAGCAGATCTTCTGGCAGCAGTAGCTAGCCCAAACAGCAACAGCACAACCTTAGTGTCCAGTTGGGAGCAAGCAGAGTTCTCTTCATGAAGAGTACTGAACATTGAAATGTTAACTCTGGTTTCTCCCCACAGATGCTGGCAGACCTGTTTGCCAGAAATTCCTGTTTTTGTTGTAGTAGAGGAAGAGCTCAGTAACAGGAGGGTGAGAAAAGGACATTTAGAAATAAATATCACTAAATTTGGCTTTCTAGCCCTCATTTTGCAGAGCTGTGAATGTTGTTGACTTCAGTCTTTTTGAATAAGTTGTGTCAGATACCACTTTAATGAGTGAATGCGTGCAGTGAATTACATAAACTGCGATGTCAATCAGTATATTACACCAAGTAATGGTAGCAGTGGGGTGAGCAGCTGTATCGAGGTGAATTGAACGTCGAAGAGCGATGTCAAAACTCGGAAAAGGCACTATATTTATAAGTAGTGCATCAAATTAGCATGCAGGTTCAGTTGGCAGTTAGGAAGGCAAACACAATGTTAGCATTTATTTCAAGAGGGCTAGAGAACAAGAATAGAAATGTACTGCTGAGCTGTACAAAGCTCTGGTCTGACAGCATTAGGAATATTGTGAGCAGTATGGGGTCCTGTCTCCAAAGAAGAATGTGCTGGCCTTGGAGGGGGTCCAAAGGAGGTTTACAAAATGATTCCGAGGAAGAAGGGCTTGACATATGAGGAACTGTTGAGGACTCTGGGGCTGGACTCAATGGAGTTTAGAAGGTTGACGGAGGATCTCATTGAAACTTAAAGAATGCTGAGATGCCTGGATAGATTGGACGTGGAGAAGATGCTACTCCTAGAAGAAGAAATAGGATCCGAGGGCATAGAGTGAAGGGTTCAATTATAACTGAGCCAGAGTTGCTTGATCCAGGGAAATCATTGCCACAGAAAGCTGTGGAGGCCAACTCATTGGATGTATTTAAGAAAGAGATAGCTAGGTTCTTGAATAGTAAGGGAATCGGGGTTATGAGGGCAAGTGAATGGGACTGAGAAATATATCCACCATGATTGAATGGCAGACCAGACTCAATGGACTGAATGGTCTAATTCTGCTCTTATGTCTGGAGGCCTGCATCCATTGGCATACCACAGGGATCAGTGCTGGGTCCCTTATTACACCTTTTCTAATTGCTTACAAAAGCAACAGTGTAAACATGACCCACAAAGGGTTCAGTAATTTGTATCTGAACAGTTCTGAAATTTCCTACTCTGTCCCTTGTTGTACAACAGTCCTCTCCTCAACCGTGTTCACAATCAAAAATAAAATGATATGGTCTTTACAGCAAGCTGTTCAAAAGCGAGTAAGGACAGCTCAAAGGTATTTCATCAGGATTTCTATAAAATTCTCTAGTTCAGAGCTGGACACATCAGATGCCCTAACAGAATGTAAAATATTCAAACAGCATTCGGATTAAGTTTTTTAAACTTGAATGTATCTGATGCAGAAAAGCAAGCCATTAGGATTTTCTTAGCAATTATGGATCAAGAACTAAACAGACACCATGCATTAGGATTACCAGCCAAAGAAGTGCACTGGAGGGGGTACAAAGAAGATTCACCATAATGTTGTCTGGGATGGAGCACTTCAGCTACTAAGACAGGCTGGATGAGCTCAGTTTGTTTTCTTTGGAGCAGGAAGGGGTGACCTGATAGAGAGATAAGATTTTAAGGGATGTGGACAGGGTGAATATAGAATCCCTACAGTGTGGAAGGAGGCCATTTGGCCCAACTAGTCTGCACCGACTTACTGAAGAACATCCCACCCACAGTCACCCTTTTACCCTATAACCCTGCATTTCGCATGGCTAACCAAACATCCTGGACATTATGGGCAATTTAGCATGGCCAATCCACCTTCCCTGCACATCTTTGGACTACGAGAGGAAACCCACACAGACAGGGGAGAATGTGCAAACTCCACACAGACAGTCACCCGAGGCCAGAATTGAACCGAGGTCCTTGACGCTGTGAGACAGCAGTGCTAGACACTGAGCCGCCATGCCGCATTTGGCCCCATTAGTCGAAGGGTCAATGACAATAGGGTTGTCATTGTCATCTTAAAGTAAAAGGCTGGAGGTTTAAGAGGGGATCTGAGGAAAAATAGTTTTATCCAAAGGGCGGGAGGGGGGTTCTGAAACGCACTGCTTCGGAGGGTAGTTGAAGTGGGAAACCTTTTAAAGTACTTGGAAGAGCAGTTAAAGTATCATGACATTCGAGGCTATGGGCCCAGTATAGAAACTGGGACTCGGGTAGATAGTAGTATTTTTTTGGCAGTACAAACTCAATAATTGAAGGGCCTCTGCATTAGTCTACAATTCTGTGATGAGCTAACAGATCAGTGAAAAATATGGACTACATTAAAAGATCAATTCAGAATCAGACTAAATGTTCATATTTATTAACTACAGTTCGTCAGTTAGATAGAAGCCTACAGAATCCATAGACTATTTCATCAGCAAATGCAGAGAAAAGGTCTCCACGTATTGAGTTGGTGATCTCACCCAGCACTGCGGAAGCTTTCCAGAAAAATTTGCTAGATAAAGCAAAATCTTGTAGCATCAAACAGCTACTGAAAGATAGACGTATTTACATATATTTATCAAAGTTGATGAAGTAAAATTGAATGATATTTCAATCACTAGGATTCCCAGACATATGGTCTTCTGCAGCAACCAAAGAAATGCACAGTTTTCATTCAAGTTTACAAGTCATGTGGCAGAAAAGGTAGCTGGATGAGGAACCCAAAGAGTTCAGTACTTTCAAGCTATAAAACATACCATCTGGTATCCCACCAGAGGAGTATACGTAAAATAGTTGAATTATCCGACCAAGTACACGAGATAATGAGTGGTTTAACACTTTCAATCTCATAGAAAACATCAAGATCATTAAACCATCCAAAGTATTCACAAAATTTCAAGATTGGAAGATTAGTAATTATCTATTATAGCTCAAAGATCAATATGGGAGTCAGGGCCAAAACACTAACCTTGCAAACTTAACAAAAAGTACACCCACACACGTGATAAGCTATAATGAAATCTATAAATGTAAAATCCTCAAGATATAACAATACATCAATTCCATGTGTGGAATCAATTATGCTAGAATGCAAGTATAAACAATCTACTTTGATGTTGCAGATGTTTTACACAGTAGGCACTACTGGACCAGCAACTGCAGGAATACCAGCATTTTTGCACTTGTCATAATAAAGGGAATCAGTCAAATATTAGAGACACAACAAAAACCACTGCAGGTGAAAAACCACTAGTCAAAAAATTGTTACTTAACTCAATATGAAAGAAGAATAGAAACCTCACTTCCTTAAGAACCAGCAGATCTGCTGTACATAGAAAGCTGAAAACTCAAGAGTAAAAGACTAAATAACCATCTCAAGATAAAGCTAAACATAAGAACACCATCTCGGAGACAATGAAGTCTTTACATTCATAATGCTAAACAAAAAAAGTGTGGAGCAAAAAAGTACGCAAGATGAACCACAAGCTATGAATCACCAATCCAATGAAAAGGCTGCCACTTCACAGGAGGACCTGGAGGTATTAACATGCTCCACAAGAGCAGCCACAGAAACACTGGCCTAAGTACAGAAAATACTGCTTGAGCAAATGACGTACTTGCAAAAAAAAAAGTGGAGATGCATAGCATATATGGCAAGGTATGACCAACTACTCAGAAAACTATCATGGTCAGAAACTAATGCCATAAATGATGCTTTAGTGACAGAAACCCAGCAGGATATAGAAGAAAACACACACCCTCCGAGTCTAGGTCTCCAAGAACATAAAAATAAAAACGCTGACAAGTCAGAACAATAGGCAGTATTATGGAAATCCAGACAAAATCACCATCACGTCATCTGGATGCCTCAGTAAACTACCTACACATGAAAAATAGAATTATCTGTTACTGTAAATACTTAAACCATCTTTTGGAATGCAGGAAAATGCTGTACCTTTGCCTTTAAGAGGCTCTGACTGAGTGTGCATGCAGAACACAATGAACTCAGTTGTTCTGCTCTATGTCTGTTTTACAACTTCAAATGTGTTTTACAATTTTGAATAAACTAAGCCATACATTTAATCAATCCTTGATGAGTAGTCAATATCAACAACATGACACTGGTCTGCCACGCAGGCAGAAAGACTCCATCTCTGCTGCTCCCTTTCCCCATCCCCAGTATCTCCACCAAGTGACCATCAGCAAAAGCATGTCCTCCTTGGGTGATGGGCAACAACTCCATAAGTCTACTCCTGGTCTCATTAATGCAAATTTTCTCTGAGTTTTCTGAGATTTGGAGAGGGATGGATGCCCCAGGGAAAAAGAATTAAAGGATAAAATGCCATAATTCAAAAATCATAATTCCATCAAATGGCAGAAATTTCTCATCCCAAATTAAATATAAAAACCAAGCAAATGAGAGCATGGAGGATCTGCTGCAGAAGAAGGGCAGCACGGTGACTCAGTGGTTAGCACTGCTGCCTCACAGCACCAGGGACCTGGGTTCGATCCCACCCTTGGGCAACTCTCTGTGTGGAATTCGCACATTCTCCCCGTGTCCGCCTGGGTTTCCTCCAGGTGCTCCGGTTTCCTCCCACAGTCCAAAGATGTGCTGGTTAGGTGGATTGGCCATGCTAAAAATTGCCCGTAGTGTTCAGGGATGTGTAGATTAGGTGGGTTATAGGGGGATGGGTGTGGGTGAGATACTCTGAGGGTCAGTGTGGACTTGTTGGACCGAAGGGCCTGTTTCCACACTGTAGGGATTCTATGAAGAGTTAAGACTGCTTTGTATAACTTGAAATTGAGGTTTTGGTTCCACTCTATTGTTTCACAAAGTAGGGTGCTCCTCTACTGGAAGATGGGATAAATGTGTACTAAATGACTCAATCAATACATTGGCCAAAGGCTCTTCTTACAGAATAACGGTTGGCCCCTTGAAAACCCTCCCCTTTAAAGGTAATCCCACCTGAATAAGACATTGTTCCTGCCAGATGAGCAGAAATTACTGAATGAAAATTGTTGTAGCATATGAGTTTTCTTTGCAATATAGGACTTACTTGGGTTGATCTAGAAATACTCTTTATATTAAAAAGGACTTCATGATGGTACAACCGCTCAATAGGTTGCATGAAGCAACATTTTTAAAAAGCTTTCAGGCCAAATCCTAATTATCTGGCTGAAAACTTACTGAGGTTTCTAGAAGATGCAAAACTGAAATGCTACAACTACTAAGAGACAAAGGCAACAAGCTTGTTAAATTTTTAACTTACTTTCTTCAACTTGCGTAATGTCTCCAAGGTTTCATCCACTGATTTCTTTAGTAGGATACACCTATAGAAACCCAAAGTGTCTTGTAAAACTAAGTTGTTTACAGAACCACAAAAAGCAGAAATGTACAAACTATAAAACTAATGACCTCAAACACACTTAGATGCACAAGCAAACTGTGATGGTGGTAGCATGCTTTAAATTGCTGTCCCCCAAAATGCAATCAGCTGAAAGGATACTATACATTCTCATGGTCACAACAATCTGAACATTATTTTAGGCAAGCGACATACCAAAGTTTGTAGTTATGTATTAACCAAATTCCACAATTTTGACTCCAATTATTATTTCTATAGATAGATGTAGATTCATCTAGCTGATACAAGAATTGAAAAGCTACAGTAATGAGCTCAGATTTCCAATACTATAACTGAGATGGACAACAGAGATGTGAAGGCGGTTTAGAATGCATGATGCTTTGCTCAAATAAACAGAGAATACAACAGGATACCTGGCCCCTAAAGATTAGTCAAGGGAGAGATTTTAAGGATGTCTTGAAGGAGTATAGCAATCCAGAGAATTAGGAATCCCTGAGACTTTAACAGCTGAAGGCATGACTACCACTGGTGGAGTGATTTTAAAAAATTGGAGGTGCTCAACGTCATAGATGGCAAATTAAGCACATTATTCATGATTGAATAAACAATATGGATCTTAAGATTAAGACACACGTGTTTTTCAAGTAGACTGTCCCCTGCAGTGTTGAAAAGAGGTGGAGATTACTGTGATATGATATGTGCATTCACTAAAGTCTTCTTTTTACAACAAAGCTGTGGCTTGGAGAAAGCAATGCTGGGAAAAGTCAAGCTTGTGTGAAAGCTTGATCAGCAATCTAGTTATTTAAACATACAATCATAAAGCAGGCATCATGATCTCTGGATTGTGAAACTGTTAAAAAGGCAAGGAAAATCCTTGAAAAATTCCAAAGGAGGGGCTAAGATCAATAAACAGTGAAAGAAAAGATGGTACAGAACTATAATGCCTTAGATTTATACCCAAAGCACTTCACAGCATCGACGCCTAGACTGACACCAGAAATAAGCAGGTCAACTTATGAGGATAGGTTGGATAGACTGGGCTTGTTTCCATTGGAGTTTAGAACAGCAAAGTACGACTTGATTTAAGTGATAAGATTCTGAATGATCTTGCCGAGTGGACATGTAAAGGATGTTTACTCTTGTAGGTCAGTCCAGGACAAGGGAGCACTATTTTAAAACTAGGGGTTATCCTTTTAGTACAGCGATGAGGAGTAATTTTGTTCTCAGAGGCTTGTATAACTTTAGAATTCTCTGCCTCACAATACAGTGGGGCAAGGTTATTGAATGTTTTTATGATAGAGGTGGATAGATTCTTATTAGGCAAGGGAGTCAAGTGTTATCGGGTAGATGGGAATGTGGAATTTGTAACATAATAGATCAGCCATTAAATGGTAGAGCAAGCACAAAGAATCAAATGGTTTACCTCTGTTTCCATTTCATATGTTTGTACAATCAAACAAAGTTTGACACGAGCAAAATAAGGAAATATTAGGGCAGATAGATAAAAGGTTGATCAAAAGTAGATTTTAAAGAGTACATTCAAAGATAAAAGAGTTTTAAGCAGAGGAAGTGAGAGCTTAAGACCTTGACAGTTAAAGGCTTGATTGTCAATGGTGCAGCAATTAAATGAAGAGGTCAGAATTACAGGAGTACAGATGTAAAGAGAATAGGGCTGGAGAATATAACAATAGAAGAGAGAGGCTATGGAGTTATAATTGTAAATAAGGATAAGAATTTTAAATTTCTGCTGATAATTGGGAGCCAATGTAGGTCATCAAGCAGAGGAGTGATGGATAAATAGAAGTTGCTGTAATGTAGGACACAAGTACCAGAGAGCAGGGACTGAAAGCTTTGTATATTTTCAATATTACAGTGAGTTAAGAAGCAGAGTGCAATATTTGACAGGAACTGTCCCATAATCCTAACATGCAAGGAATCATTGTTTATATCAGTGAAAGAAATGTTAAATTGCCAGTCAAAAATTTGGCCAGACTAAAGTACAACTATTAAAACAACTTAGACATCAGCGAGCAAGCAACTTACCTCTCATAAACTTTCTCTCTTCTTTCAGGCTGTTTAACTTCCTTCAACAAGGTATCAATCTTAAGACACAATTTAACAAAAACATAATTTGTGCATGTTTTATCACAGCTTTATATATTTGTAGGTCAGTGAATACATAAACGTCAAACATTTTTCATGATGTCAGAACACTGGTTGGTTTTGCATTCTGAACCATCATCAAATTCAGGGATATTTCCCATGGTTCAATTTTATCAACAATGCCACATTTTAATGAAACCTATGGCACTTGAGGATAGATTAAGTATGTTCTGTGAGACATCATAGGTAAGTTTGAATAATATAAATTATATAATCCTAAATTAATATCACAAAAAATTCAAAAACAGCATTAGATATTTTTCTTCATTTTTCCCCGTGGGAATTAGTGACACCAGTGATGGGGGAACAGTAGCACCAGCAGTTATAGAGTCTTAACAGTTGTACAGCATGGAAACAGACCCTTCAGTCCAAATCATCCACCACTTCCCTTTGTCTCCTACTTTCAAGGCACTGAACCTCCTAACAGATCAGTTGGCATTAATAAGCCTAATGATTCAACTACTGAATCCTGCTAGCACACAGTTCAATCTGATAACTTATGTTTCATAAACAAGTACACAGTTGAAAACAGTGAAATACTGATTTTTTTGGCCATAGGTGATAAAAATCTGGGTAGGATTAATCTTCAGTTAAACCCATTCATTTCTTTGGGCATGGAATAATTCAATGGTTTTGCAACTTTAGTGAAATGAGCAAAGCATGTACTTCAATCTCTATATTCCCTACCCAACTCCCTAAAGAGAGTATGCGGGATTTATTCAGAGGTAGTAGGAACTGCAGATGCTGGAGAATCTGAAATAAGAAGGTGTAGAGCTGGATGAACACAGCAGGCCAAGCAGCATCAGAGGAGCAGGAAAGCTGACGTTTCGGGCCTAGACCCTTCTTCTAGGCCCGAAACATCAGC